CCCCCTCTCCTCCGCGCCCCCCATCCGCTCACTCGCCCCTGGCGGCGATGCAGCTCGGCGGCGGTGGTGTGGCGGTGCTGGTGGGCGGCAGCGCCCGCACGGCCCAGATTTGGGCCATTTCGGGCTCCTTCTGGGCTTGAGAGGCCGACGGCTCGGTGCGCAGTGACGCTCCTCCCTGGTGTTGGTGGCGAGGAGGCGGTGCTCTGCGGGCGGTGGCGGCTTCGTCGGCCGGCGAGTTGCAGCGCGACGACAGGGGCTGTCCGGACCCTTTGGGTCCAGTCGGGCCACGGCGCCTGGCAGGCCCCTTGTTCGCGCATCAGGTCGGCTCCACGGCAGTGGTGGATGTTCCCTCGCACCGGCTGTGTTGCGGATGCCCCCGTGCCCACTATCTCTTCTCCCATCCTCCGGGTCTCGTGTCGGTGGACTTAGGGAGACGGCAGAGTTGGTTCGGTGACCGTGGTGGCACATGTTGGCGGGCGGCATTTTGGGCGGTGCACGTTGGATCGTCTGGTGTGATGGTGGGGGTTTGGGTCGAGAGAAATCTCTGGCGACTCGTCCGGCCCCGACGTGGCGACGCCTGCGGGTGCCGCCGAACCTTCCTGAAGGGCGTCGGGTACTCCCTCCCCCACTCCCCCCTCGCGTACCGGGGGAAACCCTAGGACTAGTCCGGGCAACAACGGCGTCGGTGTCGCCTCCTTCTTGAAGGTATTGCTTGGTACGCGGCGCTTCTGAGTGATGGGTGCGTGGAGGTTCTTCTCTCTCTTTTCGCAGCGGTTGCCGACCATCTTCGTTTCGTTGATCTCCCGTTGTTGTCATTTATTTCTCTTTCATTTTCTCTCTCTTTTCTTTGGACTTGTTTGTGCTGCGGCCCCAACGAGCTAGTTGTATCGGATGTTGCTTTATCTATAAAGCGGGGGAAACCCTTTATCGTAAAAGTTATTTACCGAAATATACCTTCCACGTTTGTATTATGGATAAAATTGAGTTGCTTCCGATAGTGAAGTGCATAAATATGACTGATCATTAAGTTTTGCTTTTTGAAATTCTAGCAGGACTGTCAGTCATGTCTCGGGATTTGGCAGCACTGTTCCTGACCGTCAGATTGTACTGCAGCTTTGTTATGGAGTATGATATGACATTCATATAATACTGAATACAGCTAAAATAGTAGCTAGTTTTTTTTTGTCATTTACGGGTGTGTTTGGTTTGTGTCATTAGGTGGATTGTAGCTGGTCAGTTCCGTCCCTAAGGCACATTCTCGTGATTGGTCCATCTGAGGAGTCGGAACCCATTCGTTCCTGGAATGGCATATTCGCTCGATATGCCAAACCTAGTCATACCTCCAAATCGGCCAGACGACGCACAAGGCCTCGCTCTCGCCCTCCCTGACTCACACTCACCCACAAACTCAGCGCATGAACCCCCTTGTCTCTTTCGCCTCTCGATGTGCAACGCCGCAGGCCATCCACCCAGCTCTTCCTCTCCGGCGCTGGCTCTCCCTGCCTCCGCGCCATCCCTCCCTCTCTGATGGCATGCGCTAGTGCGACGAAGGACTAGCAGACGATAGTAGGTGGGCGGAGGTGGGTATCATGAAAGACGGTGTAAAGGGGCAGACTGTGGCTGGCTGCGGCATGTGGTTCTTCTACCTCCGGCACCCTGCGTTCTCTAGGATGGAGCCGGATTGATCTACTCACACCCACCTTTAAACTCTGAACTCTGAATTTCTGAACTGTTTTGCATGCAGGATGCGTGTGTGGTAGTGCCATCTCCGAACTCTGAATTGTTGGTGCATGCGGGAGCATGAACTATGAAGTGTCCATGGTAATGGCAATTATTTAAATGCGACATTTGATTTTTTGACATTATAGTGTGATCCCCCAACATTCTCTACCTAAAGCAAAAACCAAGGGTTAACTAATTCATGATATATCATCATTCCACCCAACATTCTCTACCAAAACTGGCATAATCGGAACGACACAATCGCGCCTATTGAAGCAGCCAGGAAGTTTAGTATAGATATATATATATCCTCACTGAAACAAATTAAATTGAATAATGGAAGGGAACCTGTAAAGTGGAAGAGGGCCGTCGGTGAGTCAAGTGAAAAGTGGAAGGCAATGAGGGTATATATGCAAACTAGTTGGCACCCAACGCCGGAAGGGTGTAACAAAGAGCCTCGCACCCGACTTTATATTTAAAACAACAGCCATACAACACATCTCATATAACTCGATGCCAGAACACAGACACCTAGGGCAAGATACAACGATGTAGAAGAACAACACACCACCCCAAATCACTCCAAGCAATGGACAAAGTTGCCCTTGAAAAATGTCGAGGTCCTCCATCGTGAACCAACATCACCAAGAAACGAAGCTGCGCCCGATGAACCTAGGACTCCAAGGCGGCGCCTTCAAGAAGGATACGGCACTGGAGTGTCGCCGCCGACTGATTGAAAGGATCAAGGTCTGCACCAAGAAGGGTACGACACCCACAACAATACCAAGAAGAGCTACCTGGAGGAAGGGGAGTAGCCACGACGATACCTTCAAGAAGGGTACGACGCCCACGGCTGCCACCATCGTCAGCCTGGCCAAATCAAGGCAAGGAAAGTCCCTTGGCAAGAATACTCCTTCAATATTTGGCGGGACCAGTCGCGAGAACAGTCGCCGCACCGCCGTCACGGATTGCCAAGCACTAGCCACCACGCCGCCCACACAGCCGTGGCGACAAACCCGCACCGGAGCCATGAGTTCCGCCCACGAGCCCCACGGCTCCCACCACCGCCCCGGCATCCGAGACCACCCCACTGCATGCACCACGGCAAATGGACACCGCAGGCCGATGAATAGCAAAAGGCACCTCCTTTTGTCCCAAACCACGCCACGGCAAAATGTTACATTAGCCATACACGCTATCGGGTTGCAGATTGTCTAATACTATATATTTTCAGAGCTGATCGTTGGACTGAACTGTGGGTGCAGGACGCTCCTCTTGCTCCCAATTTTCCCCATATTTTCGTGGATTGTCATATCTGTTTTTTTTTTTACATAATTGCCTCCACATCAGAGTGGAAAAGACTCACATCGTGAAACGAAAGGAAAAAAAAACACGCATCGCTCTCTCAGATCGTGCGCCTCTCCCAGCGCCGGCGGCCAGCCGCGGCTGCTCCTCCCGCGCCGGCGACGTGCTCCTCCTGCCCTCGGCCAAATCTCTCCCTCCGTCGGCCGCGCTCCTCCTGCCCTCTGCCGAATCTCTCCATCCGTCGGCCGCGCCTCTCCCTGCCTCCTCCGCTCGTCCCTGGCCCAGCCACCAGCGTCCTTCGCCCTAACCCTAGTTCCTCGACGTTTGAGGCGACAAACGGCGGCGCTCCGGCACGGCCCCTGGAAGCAACGGTGAGGCCCCTTGTTTCTACTACTCCTTTCCTAGATCGTGATTTCCCAATTTTGATTTGGTTTTAACATTCTTGATTGATGATTATTTTCCGATCTTTGCTTTCAGGAACCCTAGACTGAAGTATGAGCCGCCGCCGTTGCTCGCCGGCGACGGCACCTCCACTGGAAGACGAGGACATTCTGCAGGAGATCCTCCTGCGCCTCCCTCCTCAGCCATCCTCCCTCCCTCGTGCGTCCGCCGTATGCAAGCGCTGGCGCAGCATCCTCTCTGACCCCCAATTCGTCCAACGCTTCCGCAAACACCACGGGAAACCCCCGCTAATTGGCTTCTTCAACCAAAGTTATACCGTAGTCTGCGACTTCAATCCCATCCTGGAAGCGCCTAACCGCGTCCATGCCAATCGTCTCTCAGTGCCAAAGAGGCAAAGCTCCATGGGGAAGTGGCGTTTCATGGGCTGCCGCAACGGCCTTGCCGTCCTGGTCAACGGGGGTCGGCGTGAGGCCATCGTGTGGGATCCTCTCACTGGCCAGCAACATCGTGTGCCTTTTCCACCGGGGCTTCACGACGTTCCAACGAGTAGTTTCTATGCCTGGCATGCCGCAGTGCTTTGTGCTAATGCCGAAGATGGGCACGTGCATGGAGATTGCATCAGGGGGCCGTTCAAATTGGTCTTGATCTGCAACAGATACGAGCAGGCATTCGCTTCTCTCTATGACTCCACATCTCGTGCTTGGGGAGATATTTTCTCGACGGCGATAGAAAATACAATTCATTGGACAAGGTGCAGCATCCTTGTTGGAAATGTGCTTTGCTGGGCGATTTGTGGAGGTGATGCCCTTGTGTTTGACACTGAAATGCAGAGTCTTGCTGTGATTGAGAAGCCGGCAGACAAGAACGCTATCAGTGACTGGTCTTTTCAGCTCTTACGGATGGAGGATGGTGGACTAGGCCTCGCTGCTTTGTCGGGACTGACCGTCCAATTATGGGAAAGGAAACTTAACTGTGACGGTGTTGTCGGATGGGTGTTGCTGCAGAAAACCATTCCTTTGGAGGGGTTGCTTCCAAGCACAAAGCCTTTGGTATTTATCGTGGGGTATGATGAGGACACAAATGCGATTGTTCTGTCTACGGGGATTGGCAACTTCATGATCCAACTTGACTCAATGCAGATCAAACATATCATTAAAAGAAATGACATGTGTATCGACATGTTTTATCCCTACCATAATTTCTACACTGCAGGTAATCCCTCCCTATCTACATTGCACAACCAAAAAAAATCCATTAGTTTGTTTTGCGGTGATTCATTACAGTTCCTTTTGGTATGTGATTGCTGGAACATTGTTAATATGATTAAGGATCGATAAGGATACATTGAGCTGTTTGTTTCTTTGTTGTGCCTGTGATTTATCGTGATGTAACTTATTATTACTGGGCTACATTAAAGATGGATTTCGGATGTCTATTACATTAAAGAAATGCTAACTATGACTCTGTCCGTTTAATGATCTTTCCATCAGGAGGTTTATAGCAATTGGAAACTGGCTATAACTACACTAAGAAAATACAAGGAAACCATCTCCTATGTAAAATAGTTAACCCACTGCCACATTTGAAAAGCTTAAAAGATTGTTATGTTGTACTATCCAATAAATGTACGGTACTGGCTTGCTTGGCAACGGAGTTCTAGATAAATGCATTTTTCTTGAGCATCTCAACAGTTTTATCATTCTTGTTTTGCAATTGGCAATAGATGTGGAGTCATTTACTATCCTTGCCACAGAAGCTACTTTTCCCTCTTCCATTTACATAAATATATAGCGGTTTGCACATATTGCTTTCCCATTGATCCAACTTCTTTCTGAATTTTCATCGTTTTTTTGTTGCTTCTTTTGGTTTTAGGCAGGGGAGTTGGGTGGAAATGGGTGGAGCTGGAACTTTGAACACTTGTGATCTAGTAATGTGCTATCTTGGTTGAATGAGTGAGGTAAATTTTTCTTCATGTTATGTGCATTTGTCTTTAAGGCAGCATACTTTTTGTTTTGGATACTTAGTTTAGAAGATGATGCATGATTTATTGTTGTAGGTTGTAATGCATGAATGTGAATAAATTCTAAACTGTCTAGTTCCCACATTTCTAAATAATATGTTGCTGATCTAGATCAATCTAAGAAGTCTAGTCTTTGCCTCTCTTTGACGCATTCAGTCACTGATGTTTTATGACCTACTGCGATCATATGTACTCATGTAGCAAGAAAACATGAGAACATTTCAACCAGAGAGGTTGAAGGTCGCTGTCAACCATTACAGAATATTGTTCTTCTATTGTTGTTCTCCATTTGTATTATTGTTCTTTTAATAGTATAATTTTGATTAGCACAATGATTCAGCTTTAGATTCTTTTAAATTGTCTAATTTGCACAATGGAAAAGTTAAAATGTACTGTTGAAATCATGCAGAAATTTGAGCTCTTCTGGGAATGAGTAGTACAAATTGTGTTACTCACATGACATCGATTGTTCTGCAGGTACCTAGAGTTATACATGGGTTGCTGAAATGAAGAAAAATGTCTAGTTGGTTTAGTCTGCTCCATATGCTGAAGCATGTGATGTGGTTGACGCTGAGATTGCACCTCTGTAGTATGTAGGTTGTTCTACTTTTATGTACGGTTGTCTGTGAAGTGGAATTTGTTGGATTTAATTGTCTCAGCTTGTGTTCGTTATTAATGACTTGTAGAGTTTCTTGGGTTAATAGTCTTTGTGAAGTGAATATCTATCTACAATTTATCTTCCGAGTCTTGCTAATGATTTAACTGTCATAATGAACCGCACATCATTAAATCACCATATGCAGCAGGGACAGGTAATGCTCGTATGTTATAAGGTATAGTATATACATAGAATTATGGCTGCTGTCTAGTTCTAGGAAGGTTAGACTCCTACAATCAATGACCGCCATGCTCGGCTTGGACACTCATTCTTGGCTCTATAGTGGCCTGAACCTGTCATCCTCATCATTCTACAGTTTGCCGCTGCCACCCTCCTAGCTCCACTTGCCTCCTTAGAAGAAACTTGATGCTACTCTATGTTTGCTGCATGGATATGTAGCTATGGAATTATAGAAACACATGAGACATCAACCACATTTTTATTCTGCATGCAACCGAAGCATTTCTCCTTTTTTGGTGTCGGCTGCCCATGATTTTCCCTTTCTTTTAGCTGTTTGATATGATCAGGTTTCTACTTTATCACCTGATACAAGGAAATTTTGTATGCCTGCTCAAGCTCTGAAACCTCATACGTAAGTATGCATATGAATAATTTGTATGGTCACAGAATCTGCCTTCTCACACACCTCTGGTAGTGAAGTTATTTACTGAAATATACCATCCAGATTTCTATTATGGATAAAACTGAGGTGCTTCTGACAGTGAAGTGCATAAATATGACTGATCATTCAGTTTTGATTTTTGAAATTCTAGCAGGACTGTCAGTCAAGTCTCAGGATTTAACAGCACTGTTCCTGACCGTTAGATTGTACTGCAGCTTTGTTATGGAGTATGATATGACATTCATTATTCATAAAATAATAATACTGGATAGAGCTAAAATAGTAGCTCATTTTTTTTTTCTCATTTACGGCTGTGTTTGGTTTGTGTCATTAGGTGGAATGTAGCGGGTCCGTTCCGTCCCTAAGGCATACGAGGAATAAGAACACATTCGTTCCTGGAACGGCATAGTCGCTCGATATGCCAAACCTGGTCATGCGTCCAAATCAGCTGGACGACGCAGAACACCTCGCTCTCGCCCTCCCTGACTCTCAGTCACCCACAAACTCAGCGCCGCAACCCCCTCGTCTCTTTCTCCTCGCGGTCTGTGACACCGCAGGCCACCTACACGGCCCTTCCTCTCCGGCGCTGGCTCTCCCTTGCCTTTGCCTCCACGCCATCTCTCCCTCTCTGATGGTGTGCACTAGTGCAACGGCGGACTAGCAGAGGACAGCAGGCGAGCGGAGGTGGGTGGCGTGAATAGTGTGTTAGAATTAAACATGGTCATAGTAGTCCGAGCAGTACTCCAACGAATAACTAGTAGCATTAGCTGTAGTACACCGAGTCCTGATAGCTACTAGTAGTCTATCTTATGCGTATAAATAAGCGGGTACACCAGATCAGAAAGGCAATAAAGGGTATAACAGGCTTGACACGAGGCTGTGGCCAACAATCCATCAATCTGCGTTTTCCTCTATCGCCTGGTTACTTGAGTCCAAGGGAGATTGATCAAGTCACTGCTAGCCGAAGCCTGCTCGACGTACAGGAGTTGCACGTACGCGTGTTGTTATAGGATAATCCGTCCAACTGCCTGCGTGTGTGCTAGCTTAGCACATACACGTACGTTGTTGATCCTGGGTGATCTGATCTAGAGATCAAAAACCAACATAGTGACTGAATTTAGAAATTGTCTAAACGATAATACAATCAAAATTTTGCTGGTAATTCTAATAATTTGTTAATAGAAATACTGTTCCATTTCCATGAGGTAATTTCCAGAGGTAATCTCAGAGGAAGATCTCATCATTTTTATGCAAGAGGTGACTTTAACCAAATTCATTTCGTTCGGTTCCCCTAACCAAACACTGAAATGTATCCATTCCGTTGCACCTAACTACGGCAACCAAACATAAGAACGGAACCAATCCGTTCCAGTGGAATGGAACCATGACATTCCATTCCACTTCCTTCCTGAACAAAACACGCCCTACAAGATTTCAGATTGAGCCAACTTATATGCTGGACAAGGACAATTTTGCATCATAGTAGTGGTAAGAACAATATCGGCTTCTAAACTGTAAAACTGCAATTATTTTGGCAATTAGACATGAATTGCTCATTTTATCAGAGTTTTCTCACTACCAAGAAAACTATCCTGGTTATATGTTGTGAGCCTACAAGTTGTCGGCATCGCTTTTAAAAAAGAGTTGCATCTCTATCCCTGGAGCTAGTTTTGCAAGTCATCCATTTATCTTGTGAACTTCCTCTTATCGCTGCATACACTATCTTATTAGATTTCCTCTCTGGTTTTATCTTCTGTGGTGCTGCCGTGCTGGCATTGCTTGCTCACCCTTTAACATCATATATCATGAATTCATAATCAAAAGGATCGTCTGGGTTCCCGCAAAAAAAAAAGGATCGTCTGGGACTTCTGTGCTTGCTTGGAAATCTGTTAAAGTGTTGCCCCAGTTCCGCTTGATGCAAAATACAAAACTAAATGTTACAAGTAACATAAGATCTTGGACGCAAAATCAAATGGTCCAATTTACCTCTTGCTTTAATGTATGTTTTCGAGAAGATTGTCGAACCCTTCGTATTAGAACAATCACTATCTAAATCTAATGTATGTTTTCGTGCACTAATGCAGTTCATGACAAAAAATTTACAAAATGGTGGCCAATGTTATAAATGTTGGAAAGAACTTCTGTGTGGAAAACAATTATGCTTTACGAACAGGAGAGAGTATCATCGCCTTAAATAACAAACTAGTTTGGTTGTCTTTCTGCAGCTTTTGCGAGGTTTCCCTCCCCGCACCGCCACCCGCGAGGCGGCCGGCGAGGGCCCCCAGATCCGCTCGCCGCGCACCTCCCCTCCCCCTCCCTCCTCCCTCGCCGCCGCCAGGGGGCGCGGCCGGGCGAAGCCCAACCGGCGCGGGCGGCGGCGGGGCCTGGTCTTCCCCCGGCGCGACGGGGCG